CCAGGAAAGATCTGCAATAATCCACTTCAAATCCAGGTCCAAACTACATCTGGGGCCAGTGTAGCTTCTACAGGAAATGTTATTGCTGTGTAAGTTGTCAKGATTCATCTTAATTGGGGKACASAGAGGTAGAACACAGGAGCASAGACACAATGTYGTTTTCATATATTTACTGCAATATGTATTACAGCAGTATTGAATGTGTTGACAATGAGATGAATCACAGTTTCTAGAATCCAAAGAAATGTCCAATGATCAAAGTCCTGGGTCCAACAGACTTTCAACAGAGGGTCACAWATGGTGYCGTTGTATTGTGTGTTGGCTATGTGATGCAGAACAGAGAGAATGTAGATAATCCCCTATGAAGAACGACAACTGAGCAGCTTCTAGATGAATGAACGAGTCATTATCAACAGTAGGAGAAGGTGGCATTTAGATGATGACTTGAAGGTGCATGGATAAATGGACTTTACATGTTAAGGCTGAGACCAAAACATTTTAGAGATGAATAATAATTAATTTTAATAATTGTTGTTGGTATCTCGATCCTACAGCACTGGAGTCAGAGATACCCGCAGGATATGAGAGAGAGGGAGAGCAAGCGAGCAAGAGACTATAGAAGTGAAAAACACAGATAGTGATAAGTAGTAAAATAAATAAATGTGGGGTCAGAGGGAGGAAGAGAGAGAGAAGTGCTTAGTGCATTAGAGCCAAGTGAGGACAGGTAACAAACAACAAAGAAGTAGACAAGAGGTAATAACAATAAAACAAAGGGCAAAAAACACAATCCTAACATTAAGCACAGGATATGCCCTTAAATACTGACAATGTGCCTGAGGGCTTATGTAGTTGATGTTGTACACCTTGAAGGTTATGATGTCTTTTCACTCATAACCATCTAATCCTCACGTTGTTTTATGCTCCACTCAGTGGTTCATGCTTCAAATAAAAACTTTAACATTTACAATGAAAAGCTATAGAAGCAGACTCAACAATGCTGTTGACCTTTGATTTGTCCTATTTGACCCTTATGTTTCTTTCTGCAGATCTGACATCTTCTCTGGATTCGTCTGTAAGAACTCAGACCAGACTATGGGAAAGTGTAGAGATTATCGTGTTCGTTTCCAGTGCCCACGCAGGTTCTGTGCCGCACGTGAGTATATATCCATACTTTAGTTCTTTGTTTAAATGTTTACTGTTAGTTCTACACTTTATTTCGTACAGCATCTTTAAACAAGAAAAGACACAACATGCTTCACAAAAGATAAATTGTTAGGTCAACAGCCTTGTAGCAGCGTTTTGGAGCATCAAGTCGATCCAGAGATGAAATGCTGAGGCAGGTGAAGAGGGATTTACAGTCGTCGAATGTGGATGATGTTATTCGAGTGTGAATGATGAACTCCAGCTCGGGTTGTGATACAATAGTCTTCAGTTTTGCAATGTTTTTTAAAGGGAATAGAGAAGAACAGATTAAATATTTGATGTGTATTGAAGATCAGAGTCTGATCAAAAACTACACCAAGATTTCTGAGAGTAGATTGTACAGCTGAACAAAATGACAAAGGTAAGAAGCAATGCTCTCTCGAGCCATGACAGGGACCTGCATTTATTTAAAAATGGTTGTTAAACTGTGTTCATACCAGACTGGTGATCCCTTTAACCAAACAAAGGATCCAATTTATGGAAAGGAGAGAAACTATGGGAAGGAAAAAATACAAAGTTAGTGACATAGAGAGGAGGTCAGTGCATGATGGGAGTTCCCCCAGGAGTCTAGGCCTACAGCAGCATAACTAAGGGATGGTTCAGGGTTCAGCTGATCCAGCATTATCAAAAAACAAAAAGGAGCGTTTTTATTGTAACCTTAAATGTAGAGATGGTGTCTGCCTCCTTAACCCAGAGTGGAGCTGGTTTGTAACGTCATGTGGTGAAGTTCATTATGCCATTAGACATGTGTAAATAGAGTTGTTTCAGTCGATTTTTTCTGATGGAACTGGATTGGAAATTGTCTGAAATGTCACAGGGAAAGATTTGAAATAAACCTTTGAGATGAGATCGATCAAGGTTCTGTTTTTTCCAGGTGTGGCTGAACAAAAGCATGTTTATATAATTTACATTTTATGTCAGATCAATGAGGTTCTGAACAGTTGCGGCTGGTGAAAATATATTTTTGGGGGGCACACTTTTGGGGCGGCATAATCCCTAGTGATGTAGCATCAATCACTCCCTCTGCTTACCCCCCCCCATGACTGGGAATGGCAATCTGTTGTATTGTAGAGGCACAAACTGCGCATGTACAACTTTTAATAGGCTGAAATACTTGATTACACCAAGGTACAGTTGAAATTATTATTTTATTACAACAACCAGCCTTACAGAGCTCAAATGTGATGGTTAAACTGCTCCGTGGCTCAAAAAATGTAACTGAATTAAATACATTTTTATTATAATTTATTCTTCTTCTAGTCATGGATTTTATT